ATTGCACACACACACACACACACACGTACGTGGCTGTATGCTGATGCAGCAAACACACTACTGTTTTTCAGAGTTCAGCAAACAAGTTTAAAGTGCTCCTGCACATTTATAACAATTATTTCGATCATACAGATCATACAGCAATGACAAGGAGACCTTAAGCCACACTTCAAAATGTATGTTTTATGAAGCAAAGCTATCAAACAAGATCAGTAGTTTCTGCAAACACATTATGCTGGCACTATCTTTATTTTCTGAGCCATTTTTCCCAAAATGTTTTTTTTAATGTTATTATCATTCTTTTTGTATGTTTTCATGTAAAGAACATTTATATCACTACATTTGTGTTATATTACCTTGGCCTTCAATTTCAGAAAACTAGTTAACGCTGTTGTGGGGGTGATTCGACCACAATGGCTGAGGGAGAGACAGCTAATTTGACATCTACATTTACATTCATTTAGCATACACTTTTATCCAAAGCGACTTACAAATGAGGAATACAACAAGCAATTTATCATCTTCCTTCTTATTTCTGACCACCATAATCAATCTCTTGATTTTTTTTTGTATTGCTATTGGAGCAAATGCGAATGCAAAAAAAAAAAAAAAATATATATATATTTGTTTGAATTTTCCATTCATCACTGGAAGTTCACCCAATTATGACGACTTCCACTGCCATAATCGAACTGTGAAGAATGTTTTTGGGACTTTAATAATTTCTGGTTATAAAATGTAATATTTATTAAAAAATGTAATAAAATTAATATTTCAAAAAATATATAGTATTTAATATGACAATCAACCTGACTACATTTACACCAATAAAAGTCTTTTTTAAGGGTTAAATCAAGTATAAATAGATCTTTAATGTGACAATTCTACGGTACCACGTTTCCAGTGTAGACAAAAACTAGTTATTGATCAAGGGAATCACTGAATATGTCACTGAGAGTATGTATACTAGTTAGCAACCTAGACAGTCTAAAGGTGGTGTGTATATTTGTGTGTGTATCCCAGAGACAGTCTCTGCTGCAGGAAACAGTGGTATCCTGTTTTGCAGTGGACTCCCATTGTTGCGCTGATTAAACACTAATATACACACCCACACGTACACACCACAGCTGCTGCGCTGTTAGTGATGAGAACAGAGCAAAGTGTCCGAGATCAATCAGTCGTGATTCATAATACACACATTTGCCCAGATGCCTTCACACAAGTGCTCCCATCTTGCGCGACAAAGGATGAAACATTGGATGCCACACATACACGCTCTTGTGTGACTGTAGATTGTGTGTTGTCTAGTCTCTCTGTCTCCACATGGTCATCCATCACTCCTGACCGTCCAGCCCCTGTCTCTGTTTATTTATCTGTCTGTTGAGTAACAGAGACGGTTTACACTGTAATTACACTAAAATTGTTTCCTAGTTTTGGCCTGATGAGCTTGTCATGATGTAGGCGTCATTTTTCATATGGCGAAATCATTGTCGGTTTTTTTCTTGCAAATTGACTTCTCCTTTATCTTTCATTTATATGAGAAACTACATTATTTCAATCTGTTCATGAATGGTGCAAGCATTTAAGAGCGAAAAGAGTTTTGATGTGAGGGGACAACAGGTGATGGACTTTTTCACTGGAGGAAGTGCTACTATTGATTATTGACTCATATGCATTACAAACACACAGGTTTTCACTTCACAAGATGTTAACTGGTGGACTGGATGACATGCGGTTCAACATGAGGTTGAAGTCATTCAAAAACATGGGGTCAGATTTTTTAAATGTTTTTGAAAGAAGCCACTTATCATCAAGGCTGTATTTATTTATTTAAAAATATTATTACAATTTATAATAATCGTTTCCCATTTGAATATATTTTGGAAATATAATTTATTCCAGTGAAGGCAAAGCTGAATTTTCAGCATCATTACTCCATTTTTCCATGTCACAAGTTTCTTTATGAATCATTCTAAAATGCTGATTTGGTGCTCAAGAAACTTCTTATAATTATCAATATTGAAAACATCTCTGATGTTTAATATTTCAGTGGAAACTGAGATAAATTTTCGCAAAACTCTTTGATATATAGAAAGTAAAAAAACAAAACAGCATCTATTTAAAATATATTTTTTGACACTGTAAAATGATTAAATACTTTTAATCATTTTAATGCATCCTTGCTGAATAAAAGTATTAAATACACACACACACTCTTTTTTATATATTTATGATAACAACTGTGCACGATTAAATGGTTTGTTGCATTTTTTCCCTCCTGCTGTCTGTGACCCTATGACTTTCACAGCAGAATGGACCTGAGCCATTTTGGGTCACAACCCACCAGTTGAGAACCACTGCTTTTCTAATGCATGTTTGTCCATGTGCATTTTACCATTTATACTAAAAGCATTTGAACAAACATGACTGAACAACTTAAAAATGCTTGTCTGCTATGTTCAGCATCGTTTCTCTCACAAGAGGTTTTGTCAATCACAATTTTTTTTCTTTAAGAAACTCACTTTCTTGATAAACAATCACCACCCACAATCCTTTTCCTCTTTCATGTCTTTCTCTGAGAAGCAGACAGGAAAAGCATGTAAAGACTCCATTGGCACTGAGAAAAGGCAAACCCACGGTTCCCACTCACTCGTGTTGACGAAGACAAACTACAAACAAGCAAAAAAACACACATACTCACAAACATTTGACGAGAGCTCTACAAAACCAAACAACTAATAGCAGGAGATAAATGTGCTGTTATTTCCCACAGAAATTAAAATGTCTGTCAGCACGCGTTACGCCTTGGCTTTTGAGCGTATTTTAGTTTTCATTACTCACAATCAGTGCTGATCCTCTTTGAGACCAGAACAAAATCTCACATTCCCCTGCTAAGCTCTCATAACTTCTTCTCTCTGTCTCAGCCAGACATTAAAGGTTAAATGTTATATAAAATTTATTTGAGCCATTTTTTCCCCAGTAAACTCCAGAAAGAACATCCCTCTAAATCCCCTCTGATATAATATACACTGTTGCACAGGATATAAAATAGTACAAAGGAACACAAAAACATTTAAGCTTAATGTAAACGCTAAAAAAATTAACTTACAACACTAAAGCCATAAACAACACAACAATAAAACAAAGTTGATATGGTATAAATTATCGGAACCTTTTTTTTTTCTTTTAAATTCACAAGGCCCAGTCTTGGAGACTCTGAAAATCTTTAGTGAATAAAGTACCGAATGATGTACAGTATGACCTAATAAAAGTTGTCTGTCACGGATCAAACCAGTTTAGCATATGCAAAACAACATTAACAGCCAATGATGGTTTAAGATTTTCATTGGGCCATTTTATGGATTAAGAATATGTCAATTTAAATAAAAGTTAATTTGCTGATTATTCCTCCCCTTATATCCTGCCTGTCACCGCAACTCAGTGAAGAAAGCCTTCAGATTTTGTGCGACTTTGGTGTTCTCTGAGGGAGGGGAATGGATAAAGTTAATTTATTTCAATGACTGTTTGTATAGGCTCATTGTAAAGAATGATGTTCTGACAGTGACAGTATCACTGAGGGATAAACATTTTTTTTTTTTTAATTGTTCCAGCTACAAAACAAGAACTGTAAACAGGCATACCAAGATTAACTATTTTCTGTCATCTCAGAGACAGATATTTTTAACTTAATGTCATTCAGTCAAACGAATGTTCTATGTTTGTGTTATGTTCTCTTCCGCAGAAAGGAAGGTTTTACACTTATAAAATTTATTTTGGGCTTTGTCACTTGAGTTGGATGCTGATTAAATAGCTGCCAAACTGCCATATGGACACAATTAAGAATGAGGTTATAATAAAGTAGCCTATGATTAATGAACGATTTGTGAACACTACATTCATTATTTAAGTAATAGAACGTGACATTTTCCTAAAGGCCACTCGGAACTGTATGGAACCAAGATAGAGATATATATATATATATACACACACATACTGTACATATTATACACATCACTTTCAGAGAAAGGGCTGAAATAAGAAATAGTTTTAAGCTCTCAGTTTGGAGTTTGTTTTGTTTGCAGATTTGAACACCTTTTAACTAAGAAATACCTGCAAACAAATTGAGAGCATCCTCATCCATTCAAGGATTAACCAAAAAGACAAAGTGAAAATAGTCTGTCACTCAAAGAACTTAATTCACCAGAAATTAAGGTACGGTCATTATTTACTCATACTTACGCCATTCCAAACCTGTATGACTGACTTTTCTTCCAGGAAACACAAATAAAGACATTACGAGTAGATTCTTTTCCATCCAATTACAAAAAAGGGTACGGGAACTTTTAAGACATAACAGTATTATAAAATAAATATTAAAAGACATGTTTGTCACATGTGTGTTTTTAAAGCTAATAATCTTCCCCTCCAGTGAGTTCAAATACCGGATCAGTCATATTTGAGTTTGAATCATTCAGTTAAATCAAGAGATTCATTAAAAAGGATCACTTAAAAGAGCAATCCGTTCAATAAACTGGTGCCAAGAAGAGCTAAGATCAAGATTCAGTTAATAAAATATAGTGTTCGTCACACAAAACTTAACTTACGGCTTCAGAAAACTCTGAACATAGTCCATGAAATGATGACTACTACAGATTGATGTCTTTTTCAACACTGAAAGCTCCAGTTCCAATTCTTTGTAATTACATGGGAGGAAAAAAAAAGCAGAACATCTATTTAAAATGTCTCCTTTTGTAAGCAGAAAACATGTCATACAGGTTTGGAATAATATGATTGTGAGTAAATTCACAATTTGTATTTTTTGAGGAAACACCATTTAAAGGGATTGCTTTTCCAAAAATGAAAATTCTGTCATCATTTAACTCATCCTCATGTCATTCCAAAACGTATTTCTTATTGGATTATCAATCAAGAAAAGGATTTCCTGCAATTCCAGTTAATTATTAAGCATTGCATGACTCTTTGGTTTAAAAAAAAAAAAAAAAAAAAAAGTTATTTTGAGAAATGTTGGCAGCCAAACAGCTTTGTTTACCATTGACTGTTCCACAAAAGTAAGTAAGTCACACAGATTTGGAACAACATAATGATGAGTAAATGGTGACATGATTTAACTACCCTTTTGACTAAATAGACAAAGTAAAAATAGTCTGTCTTCACAAAATTCAAAGAGGCAGTTTCACTAGAAGTTTGAGTTCAGAAGGTATCATGGAAGTCTGATGTGAAGGAAACCAGATTTGGTTTCCTCTCTCAGATTTGGATCAGTTTATAAGAGGACTTGTTTGTAATGACAGCTCCGAACCACCAGAAGAGGAAGAAGCGAATGATGCTAGTAAAGATGCCAGGGGTGTTGGGCACCTGAAAGACAAAATAATAATAATAATAATAATAATAATAATAAAAGACAAAAAAAAATTAATAATAATAATAATAATAATAATAATAATATAAAAAATAAATGACACTTTCTGATTCACTTCAAATCACTGTCTCAGGTCAGTCTCTTCATCATCTTACCATTATATAATAGTCACGCAGTTGAAGGCCATACAGCGTCCATGACGTGGATGTGAAAAATGTAGCGACGGTCAAGGAAAAAGACAAGCGCTCCACAGACTTATTTCGCACAATATCCAACTGGTGGAAATGAAGAACACATATGTTTTTATTTTGAGAGGAGAATGATGCTTTTGCTACCGTTTATTATTATCAAAAAATAAATAAATAAATAAATAAATACATACAGAGGAGACAGGAAATGTTGGGAGGAAGGGGGATTGAAAAATGACGCAGGCAAGACTCAAACCTGTCTTCCACTTAAGCACCAAGGATCAGCAAATCTGAAGCACATGTTCTCGCTACTGCATCACAGCTCCAACCACGTTATTTATACTCACGCAGAGTCTCTCCCATAACAAGCAGATATTGACACTTGCAGAAAGTGACGGCGGCAAAAACAGGAAGCAACAAAAGGGACGAGAATGACAGGAAATACACCACAGGGCAGATAGACAGAGCTGGACTGATAAATATATGACAGAGACAGAGACAGAGAGAGAGAGAGACAGACAGAGACAGAGAGAGAGACAGAGAGAGAGAGAGAGAGAGATCCAAAACAGGAAGATGGAGACTATGAGAGGGCACAGAAAAGGATGGATGGATGTAGTGATAAACAAAAGATGGAATGCTGGAATGTCACTGTAAGACTTCACACCATTATTTTTACTAAGGAAATGATAAGAAGAGGAACATGTACATTTATTTCAGAGTTGATATATGATTTATGTGATATGTAAGGGTGTCACAGTGAATGTAAAATGTTTGCGATCATTTTTTGAATGTGATCGTTTTTTTTTTTTTTTTAAACATGGTTAACATGTTGATGCATGCAATCGTAAGTTTAATTTAAATGTGGTGTAATTCCTGTCATTTATATTTTTTCTGCCGCCTTTAGCCTATTTTTTTAAATCAGGCTGATTCATTATCAGCCTTATTATTTTATCATATTTAATGTTATTATTTTATTATATTGTTTTATTTTGTATTACATTTGATGTGCAGCACTTTGGTCAGCACGGTTTTAAAAGTCCCATATAAATAACACATTTATGTATGCAATTAAATATATTTAAATTCTATTATGTTCCATTTTGTTCTATTATGCGGTGCATTTCATGTCATTTAAATTTTTTTGTCTAAGGCTAATTCATCTTTCTTTTTATTATTTTATCATATCGTTTTATTTATTTTTTCCGATTTTATTTATCTGATGTGCAGCACTTCGGTCAGCACTTGTGTTGTTATCAAAGTCCAATAAAAATTAGCCCTGACCTACAATTTTTTAAAACATAATTAACATGTAAATGTACGCAATTAAATATGCACAACTGCTTTTTTTCTAACATAGTGCAGGTGAGATAAGTAAAAACTTACATACTCTATAAAGTAGGTAAGTAGCAGGGCTGATACAAGCTTGTGGTGCATTTGCAATATGTTCTTTCCATGTTCATGTGCTTCACTGCAATGTAATTCTCAGTAAATGTGTGCAGGAACCGTTGACTGTATTTAAACAGGATTAATGCTGTGTACTCACAAGATCAGTGAGTGGAGAGAGGTACATACTGATGGTGAACACACTGCAGGTGAGGCCCAGCTGAGAGAGTTGAGCTTCTCCAGGAGGAATCATCACAGTAAAATAAACCCAGCCTACACACAACACACTCACCATCGTCAGCGTCTGCGAGAACACTCGCCTCTGAAACACACACACACACACGTTATATGTCAGTAATATGTCAATTTATTTTGCACATTTGGACTATTTTCTGATCACTCTTATAACTTGTTTCAGAACTTTTTATTTGTTGTATATACAGTGGGGTTCAAATGTCCGAGTGAACATTAAAAAAATATGGGATCAAATTTGACTTAAACCTGCATCTAATCTATAAAGAAATAATGTTATTTTTTCAATTAAACTTTTCACTCAACTTGTTAATATAACTGATAACATAACTTGTAAAATATTGTATTCGTTTTTCAATTAAATTTTAAAATTTTCACTTTTGTTTTGGCATTGGCATTCTAAAAATATAACTTTTGAATAAACTTTTCACTCAAACTAGTATACTAATAATATAACGTAATCAAAATGACTAACTTTCAACTTAAAATTTTCACTCAAATTGTTGATTGATTGATGTAAATTGTAATTTAAAATATATTATTAATTTATAAATTAAATTTCACGCAAATTATCATCCTGATAATAGAACTTGATATTCATATATTTAACTAACTAAATTTAATTTTCATTCTAACGGTTATCCTGGTAATGTAATAATAAATACAAAAATTAGTGCATTAATTTTTCACTTCAACTTTTCAGTCAAACTGTAATACTGATAACATAATTTGTAATTAAAATGTTACATTAATATTTAATATTGCAATATAACAAAGAGTGAAAAATTTAAGGGGGTCTGAATACTTTCCGTACCCACTGTATTTTAAGGTCTGGTCTCAGACTTTGGACCCCACTTTATAATTAATAAGAGTTCAAGAAGTGGACAGCGCTAAATGACAAACCTTGTCTTTGGTATAATGACAGTAAGTGATGATGTATAAGGTCTGTAAAAAGCCCCCAATGATGTTTACAGATATCACTGTTCCATCTCCCTTTAATAATCCATAGTACAGCCAACCTAGATTACTAAAACACACACAGAGAAACAGGATCATTCAGATCAACTGAAATCTATGCACAATGCACACATGAAGTTGCATTTACATATCCAACATTACTGAATGTGAGCCACAGGTGTCAAATACCAAACACATACTTCAAGCATGTGGTGAGGAAGGGCAGAAACTGAATGTTATCTGCACTCTGTGTGGTCTTCATTTTCTTCAAGTCGGTCCTGCAAACGCAGAGAGGACATGCAATTAGAGGAATATGATGATTATGATGATAGTTTATTGATCCCAGAGGGAAGACGCCCAGTAAACATACAAAAAAACAAAGAGATGACATGCAATTATAGGAATATTATCTTGGAAGATAAGCATAGATACAGTAAGCTATGCATATCATATGCTTTATATTTTGCACTGTAAATTCATACTGATAGTGAAATTCATTTGCTTCAGACGTTCTGCACAGCCTCCAAATGTTTACATGATCAACCTACATACACATACAGAATATAGCTGTTAACGCTGTACTATGGTTTCAGGCAAATACCATAATTGCTAATACTCTAAAATCTTAATAATGTGCGATCTTCTTGATGACAGCGTTGGCTAATATCAGTAGTAACATTATGATGGCGGAACTTGTTACCATGGTATATTGCTATAAGGAGGCTGTTTATTAAGTTTGAGTGAAGGCAGTTTCTATTAGGCGCAACAACATATTTGTAACCACTACAGTTGATAAATAACAGTTTAATAGAGAACTTTGTTTATTTAAAGCATTTTAATTCATTTCCATACTAAACAGTAAACTCAAGAAAGGCGCGAGATGTCACCAGATGCGAAGATTATTAAAACCCATAAGTGTGCACAGTTTAGCTCAGCTACATTATAACTGATATTATTGCTCATCAATATCAATTAGAACACATGTAAGTAACTTACAATCCCGTCGTGAACATCCCGACGGTGAATATGATGCACGCACATGATAGCAGCTGCAGAAAATCCATAGACTGAAAAAGCGAAAAATGAGCTGTGCTTTTATGCAGACACCTGTGCAATCAAGCGAATCAAATTATGTTGATAGAACCAGTGAATCCTGCACTTGTGGAATCCGCTGACGTCCACCTTCTCAATTTCCGTGTTTGTATTCAGGATCGATTCCTTCACTCTGATTGGTTATCACCGAACGCTGCTCACTGACGTCATTTTGTAGTCCGGTTGTAGTGAAATAAGAGGTGTGGGTGACTTAAATGGAGTAATTTTACGATGTTTCCCAAGTATATTCCTTTGAATATAGAGAGATTTTGTAGCAGTTTGTCTAGTGAAATTTGTTTGTATAGTGAGATTTTTTAAAAGTACAACTTGTACTGTACAAGCTTTAGGTGAAAGGTGGCCCAAAGACGAGTTTAAGCACTCATGATTTTTGTTATGAAGTGAAGTGAAGTGACGTGACATGTGGCCAAGTATGGTGACCCATACTCGGAATTAGTGCTCTGCATTTATCCCATCCAAAGTGC